ACTATCACGATCGTGTGTAATCGGCAGGGGTGATTGGTATCGATTTATAATTACCTGGCTAGTAATCGATATATATCAGTCTATTTTTTTTGCTGATGACACTAGCCCAATTAACCAATGACAAGAAAGAGTATGCTATAGCATACGCAAGTAGAAGTCTCATTGGAGCTGAAAAAAATTACCATGTAACTGAGCTAGAATGTCTAGCTGTGGTCTGGGCTATAGAACACTTCTATCGGTATCTGGGTACTGCTCAATTCAACTTGATTACTGATCATTTAGCTCTTAAGTGGCTTAGGACCTCAGAGCTAAAAGGTAGACATACTTAGTGGATACTTTATCTGGAAACCTATAATTTTAAAATTTTCTACAGGGCTAGTAAAAAACATAACAATGCTAACGTGTTGTTAAGACTTCACAATCTCGAAAACGAAGTTAAAGTAAGAGCATTAGAAGCAGACCTAGAAAAAATAAAAGTTAAACTAAGTAAAGGAGAAAAAGTAATCCAAGAACTTGCCTCAAAAAGTAAAGGAAAAATGAAGTTGTCTAGAATAAGTACTCTCTACGTCAAGAACCTTAGATATGTAGACCAATGTGTCTACTACGGTAATACCTATTATATATATAGGCATAAAAAATTAGGCAATCATTATGCTATAACCAAACTAGACTCTAATGAACCCGTTTACCTTCACCACTTCTTCAACTATAACCTAGTCACCAACGAATCTAAGCAAGTGGTTCTTCTAAGAGAATGGTTATTGGAAGCAGCTTAGCAAGAACTACTTAAAAGAAGGATTTAGATGTAAATATAGAAACAAGACAACGAATAAACCTAGAATTACACGAGGTAGTTAATTTAATTAGTGAAATGAAATCAGAAGAAAAACAGCAAGAAGAAGAGGTACAAGTGTGTATGGTTAATGCTATCTACCAACCCAGTATATTACCTATTTCTGAGGTGGCTATGCCCTAGAATAGTAGTAATGAGGAAGGACTATCTGATACAGACCAACCAAGTATGATAAGTCCAACTTTATCCTCATAATGGTCTTTAAACTAATGAGTTCAAGACACCGCAGAAGACTATTATTTGTTGAGTCATGTATGGATAGTAGGCATGAATACTTTTTATATGTGCACCCAACCTTGGGAATATATTATGCCGCTAGATGGCTCGACCTTCGGCGAGCCGTATATCACCTAGAGTTTATTACATTTCCCCTTATTGCTAACGATCCTACTGACTTAATAACTCTACAACAATGGGTTGCAGAAGGTGCTGAAGAAGCAGGGTTGGATATAAATAAAATGAAATCTAACATAGTGGCCTTAATGCTGAAATAATTAAAAACCTAATTGCTAGTACCATAGACTAGTACACAGAAGAAGAGTATAATAGTATGAATAATAATGAACAATAAGTAATGGTTAAAAATTAAAAAAAAAAAATCAAAAGGATATAGAATTAGAGTAGTGTAGTAGACATAACAATCTAAAGGCTGGTTACAACACCAATGTGTGAGGAAAGCACAAATTGAACAGGAAAGAAAGCTAGTAAGACATAAAAATAAGAAAAATAAATTAGAAAAACTAAAAAAATCAATAGAACCACAAAAATTATAGAGATTCAAAAATCCGGAAAAATAATCCAGCTCAGGTTCCGGTGTCCTGGTAGCAAAAATGAATTATGAAAAATATGAATAGCTGAAACAATACATAGAAACCAATAATCTACTCCAAGATCTTAATCTGGCAAAGCAAGCAAAAATAAGCTCTAAAAGTCAATTTTTCGAATACAAGAATGGGTTCTTCTATAAGAAAGATAGAAGAAATCAATCTCGAGGAAAATTACTGAAAGTTATCAAAGAAAATGAAGTGGAGCTAATACTTTATTTGATATATGATCACCCAACTGGCGGTTATTTTGGTACCGACAGAATGTTTGGAAAGATTAAAGAACTTTATTACTGGCCCCAAATATATGAAAGTATTCATACTTACGTCAAGACATGTGATAGCTATCAACGATGGGGATGGAAAAGAGCTATTGAACAATTACAGCCCAGTAGGTCCACCGTTCCAAAGAATTAGTATAGACATAGTAGATCCCTTACCATTAACTGCCCAAGAGAACCACTATATAGTAGTGGCTACTGATTATGCAATGAAGTGGCCTGAAGCAAAACCTATCCCAGCAGCTAATGCCTCACAAGTTTCAAAATTCATCTATAAAGATGTTATTTGTCATCACAGCTGCCCAGAGTTAATTCTATCCAATAGAGAGACACATTTTAGGAATGAAGTAGTTAAATACCTACTAAGCAAATAAAGCAGCTATTTTCGATGCCTTGCCATCCCCAGACTAACAGCTTGGTGGAAAGGTTTAACTGTACGTTGTGTGAATTCTTAGCGAAGTTCAGAACCCAAGAACAAGAATAGGACCTGTTAGTTTCATCTACATTGTTCGCCTATAGAACAATGAAACAGGCTACCACAAAAATCGAACTATTTTACTTAACCTATAGTAGAAAGCTTAGGTTCCCCTGTCAAGATTTATCTGAGATTCTAGAAGAGAATCTGTTAGACCTATTATTCAGGCTGGAAAATGAATTGATAAAAAAAAGGTTAATTGCTAATCAATGGATTGGAAAGGCACAATTAAGACAAAAAGAAAAATTCGATAAGAAATTAATCAAGGGTGATACTATCCAAATTGGAATAAGATACTATTGTTCAATGCTGCTCTGGACCAATAATGTACTGGGAAGTTAAGACCGAAGTAGAAAGGCCCATATTACGTACATGACATGCTATTTCTAGGAGTATATAAACTACGGACTATACCAGAAAAGGTAATAACCGCCCCTGTAGGCCTTTCCCTCATTAAGAAGTACCACGAACGAGTAAATGCGATGTACTAAAAATCGAGTGGTAAAGAAAGAATTATAAAAAGGCACGTCAGAAGCCAATCAGGATGAAAATATTTGTAAAATAGATAATAATTTCCAAGAAGTCTTATCAAATCTTATTAACACCCAAGATAGAGGTATCATAGTCACTATACCTATCATTAATCCCGACTTAGACTTTCAATTACAGGTTCAAGCAGCATACTGTGATATGCGGCAATTACAATGGTAAGGTAAAAGAGAAGAAGCTCTCGCTCATACCTTCTTTATAGGCCAACTCACAGAAGCAGTAGCACCCACTCCAGCACAATGAGTAGCTTGTAAAGGCCACTTGTCTAAGTACTATGCCACATTAGTAGAATGAGTTTACTACATCTTTAAACGTTGGGGAGTTGATCAAATAGCCAGAACAGCGACTTTAAACTTTAAAATAATAAGAGATCTAATTTTATCAGATTATCACTCTCTTTTATAGTGACTTGTGGAACTTGTGATTTAGTGGAGGAGATTGTTACCCTTGCTGATCGAACCCCAACTAAACTGTTATTTCACGAGACTATTAGTCATGGGGTTACTACACCTATTGTGCCGAATGTACCAAATGTGCCACATGTACTAGTTGTAATGTATGTAGTGTAAAAGACAGAGGAGGTATTAATAGCATCAGTGGTATAAGAACTATTAAGAGTATTAAAAATATTTAGGATGTTTATAACGGTTGGGACATTAATAGTGCAAGTGTTATATATAATTAATAGTATAGTTTTATTATATAAATGGGCAAGTTTCACTCCACTTTGTAGGCATGCTTGCCATAGCATTAGATAATTAACATATATTATTAATAAAGGACACTCTTTATTTTTGATTCTATACATTTGCATACACGTACTCTTTCGTTTGTCAAATCACTAAACTAAACCCTCTCGCTAAACTATATACTTACAACTATAATAAACCACTGCACGGTTCTTGTGTCTGTACTCACGTGACTCCCTGTTATTAGTTGAACCGTTTACCTCATTTCTAAGAGATAACACGCAGATTAACACCATATAATTTATTAATTTGATATGAGTGCGTGAGAGTGAAAACCTGAAGCATATCATAGTAAATCATTGTATGCAGTTACAGGTTTTCACTCTCACGCACTCATATAATTAATTTAGGGTCTGATTAAAAAGGCCAATTTCGCCGAAATGTACATATTTCTTTCATTTGAATGCTTAAATTGCTATATAATTTCATTTATAGTTAATAAGGTTTATTGAAATTTATAAAAAAAAAATAAGGTATACCAATTAGAAATAACAAATGGAACCTCGCTAATTTAATTAGATAAGTTTGTCTTTGCAAGGAGACGATTAAACTCATCTTGATCAACACACCATCGCTATTCAAGTCAGCTTCTTCAATCATTTCTCTTAATTGATCATCGGTAATATTCTTACCTAATTCTTTAGCGACACGTTTTAAATTTTTGAAAGTTATCTTTCCAGTGGCATCATCATCAAAAAGATTAAATATCTTTAAAAAATCATTTTCCACGTTACGCTCAG